TTATTAATTACTTTTTAACAGGAATTACCCAGGTCTGTTTTGTAATATATTTAATAAAATAAAAATATTACTAAAAGAAAAAATACAAATGTAAAAAATCCAATGCAAATACAACTGGTTTATACAATTTAAGTAATTTCCAACAGGGAATTTAATCGACTTTAGAAAATGTTAAGAAATTCGAAATACGATCCTGTGCGCTCTTTTTATCTTAACGTAGATGGTTAGTTTTATGATGGTTCTGTGGCTGCTTGCTTAGGTACCTTCAAACAATGTTGACAAATTTTATTTGCTTATATTCGGTGTAGATCTTATTGCCGAATTTCGTGACTACTATACCTAGTTCGTTGAGTTTAATCGACCATTGCACCCATGCATGCCCCGCCCCTGTTAAAATCAGTGATTCAAATAAAAATATATTGGACACATTGAATTTTCCAAATGGGCAAGCATTTTTGTATTTTTTAAAGCCAGTTCGAAGAAATAAACCTTACAAGTTTTCACGAAAATTTAGTTCATTATCTTGCTTAACATTTTCTATAATAGTAAACTGCACTTGCGTCTTGCACATAATTTCATAATTTTATTATTATAAAAACAATAAATAAGGACAACAAACGAACAATTTACGCTTTTCTGAAAGACGTAATGATAATAAAAGTTTAAAACATTATATAACGATATACCTAGTACTAACGCCGATACATACAGTTCAAAACAATAATATGAACTCAAGCCGGCAGCATATCATGAGATAAATGCGCGCTAACCCACCGCTGTCGCTGTTTATAAACCAAAACCGCGATCATTTTCTCTCATTCAAGTTTTATGTAAGCTCGCGAAACGTGCGTTAATATTTTTTATAATCGTGTTTTCTGACGATGATAAATACTTATCGTGTATGAAACTTGGCAAAGAGTCATCATAAATTCACGTTTCGGAAAAGTGATTTTTTTACTGTGTTAAACCAGTAGTAATGTGGGTTTATTAAACATTTAAGTTTACCTTCAAGCAAATAGACAGTTGTGATTTTAATCGCTATAAAATGTGCTCGATGTTGTAAATTATTGAGATACAAAGTCGACCGATTAAAGGTGAATTACTTAAATTTATAAGCTATTAATTTTTTTTGCTTAAAGTTACTGTACGGTATTACGGTATATTTTGAGAATAGTTTGTCTTTTAAATATTATTTTGTTTAAGTGGTATCTTATTTGCGGCTTATCGAATCAATGAAAAATTAACAATACTCATAGAGATGTTCCTTCATTAAAATTTTATACCTTATACATACGATTATAGGTACTATGTACTTGCATAAAAAGTATTGTAGCTCCGCACGTAAACACGTTTATGTATAATGTTCATAACACACCACTTTTGTTGTTATAATGTGTTTGTTTATTTTGTACTAAATGCATTATATCCTGTATACCGAATAAAAAAATATTTTTTCCGTGTTGTTTGTTTGGAATAATTTTTGAACAATCTTTGTTTTGTTATGAGGTTAAGATATAATCTAACATTCTATTTTTTCTTCCACTGTTAATACATTCATTATTATGTTGTTTTTATAAGTAATATTAAACATTATTTATGAACTTAAATAGTTTTAGTCAAACATAAAATTATCATTATTCACTCGATAAATTATTCGGTAGTCATTGTCATTAGATTTTGAAAATTCATATTTAGAGACTTGCATGACTTTAATTTTACATAATTTTATATAAAAAAAAGGAAAATGTCTAGTTTGAGTTATTTTCAATTAGGGAGCGTCCATTAATTACGTGAGGTATTTTTGACGATTTTTACTTGCTTCTTAGCTAACGAAGACTACAAAATAATGACAAGGAATGAACGAAGTGCCCATTTATAGTTGTTGATTATCCATTTGCTTTTAAAACTAGCAAACATTTTCGATCTTGTCAAGTACGATGAATCAAAAATATAATTTAATTTAAAAACCTTGTTTAATTAATTACTTTTCTCATTCATAAAAAAATAGTTAAGTATCCACCTATCTAGGGGTAAATTTTGAAGGTTTTATAATATTTTATTTATTTGTAATGATATGACCAAGTCATAGTCATTTATACCGGGTGACAATTTAAAAACTTACAATGGCCATACCTTCTGAATTAAAACGAATGAATAAAACCTAATAAATACAATTTATTTTGTCATCTTCTTTTTAAATATATTTTTTAATTATTTTATTTACTATTGAACCACCCTGTTCAAGATATAACGTATTACACAGGATATTTCAGAATAAAGTATCGCAAATTACGATAACCCATTGGCGTAGAATCAAGGACTAAGAAAACAATTTTGATCCAAACTTTTTGAACACCCTATATTTCATAATAATGAAGATTAATAAACATTCCATTCTTTTTTTCAAAGCCGTAGAATACCTAAGTAGTTTCTGCTAACAGTCCTTAATCAGACACCATGTACATTACCCATACAGCACAAACACATTTCGGAAATATTTCAACAATGTTACATTGAAACATTTGCAATGTTGTATAAATATTACGAAACATCCCAGAAACATTTCTGAAATATACCTGAAACGTAAAAATATCCTGTAAATATAATATTCACAGTAATATTTCTGAAATGAAAATTTGAAATCTTAAATAGTAATATTTCAGAAATCTACTCTAGTTTTTTTTTTTCTAATATACTATTAGACTAAAAAAAGACATTTAAAAATATACATGTTTGTTTAAAATACACAAAACTCGAACATTGATTCTTAAACAAACAAATAAATAAGTTTTAAACAATATTTCGATAAAATATAGAAGCGAATTGCTTAATTTTCACCAATTCCTTTAAATGCACTAATTTTAAACAACTAGGTTTTTTTTAATAAATGCTCCAAGTAAAGAAACATTTACCATTATTATAATCTAATCATTAAGATCAATTAGCAATTTTATTTTTACCTAACTTATTTATGGATGAAAAACTTCATAAACTAAGATTCTACGCACTATATAGTGAACTTTAGAGTCTAATTATTTAGTTACTCTACCGTTAACGTATAACACTTAACCGCACTATACTCTGTTTTAATCTAACATCATTGAACTAACTCAAAAGGCCTTGTTCTCTTGAGTCTTCTTATTAGATTGACATTGTTGGGGAGCTGAATAATCTCAAGGTTTCCATGTTGGAGCAGTCGTTGTTGGTGACTACTGTCAAATTTTTGTATTGTATTTTCAACAGTCTCCACTTAAAGTCCCTATGAAGATCAATCAGTATTACGGCAGTACCAGGATGCATTGACGATGTTCTTTAATACTTTATTCTGGAAACGTTGAATAACTCGGATGTTACTTTTACTGGCACAGCTCCAAAGCTGGCAAATTGCTTCATTTGCACCAATTCCTTTAAATGCACTAATCTAAAATAAAATATAGATAATTAAAAAGGATTTGTACAAATTATTTGATTAACAATAGTTTTATTAATATTGTTTTAAATTAATAAAACAATACTCATGTCTAAACAAAACATGAAGATCCACCTAAGCAAGCATTATTTATGTAGTTCTCACCTCAATTTCTAAAGACATATTCTGCTTCTCATATAACAAGTTCACAACGCATGAATATCAAAAACCAACAACCAAATCTATAATTATTTAGAATATAGGCTTGTTTCTAACTGGTGGCTGGACGGACAGGGACTAAAATAACTCCATATTCCATCTTCTTCTTACAAATCAGAAATTCTTCATTAATTGTTGGCCTTTTACAACATAACCCATTTAGTAACCTTTTGTGTAACATGTATACCATGTTTCAGAAACATTTTCAGTGAAATATTTAACTAAAATATTTCAGAAACTTGTGCTTGAAATGTTATATGTTTGAAACGTTTGAAATATTTCTGAAACACTTCTGAAATAATGTGTGCTGTATAGGTAGGGTTGCCAGACGTCACGCTCTTTGACTTGCCTGCACGATTTTCATGCAAATTCCACGCTTTTAAAAGCCGCAGAGGAATCGGATTTATACAAAAAGACCCTCGATTGTAGAAATGTTCAGAAACAAAGGACCTGATTATATAAACTCGTTGTCGTTTTAGGAAAAATAAGCTGAGGAACCTTTTTTTTTGAAATGGTTACAAAATTTGGACCTGATTATATAAAAATGCTCTATCGTCATGGTTGTCACGCTTTACACTTCCGGAAATGTGGCAACCCTATGTATGGGTAGTTAGTAGAATCTTGGTTCATGAAATTTTTAACCCTGGATAAGTAAGGTTATAATAAAAGTATTAATTGGTCTTAATGACAGATTGTAAACATCGTAAATGCTTCACTTGTTGCATTTATTATAGATCTCTTAATTTGTGGCATTACTTTGGTTCCTTTCTAACTTTGGTGTAAAATAAATTGCAATTAAAGTGATTAAAGGAAGTATTAAAAAGTGCAATTTAAACATTCACCTCCACTAATTAAATGAAACAGAAACCAGCTAGTTTCTATTAAATTGTATTAGAAGTCGCTGTTTACGTAACGGTGTCGTAAGAGCTTGATTGATCATGTATAAAAAAGTTTGCAGCATTTTTATGAATAAATCCATTTATTGTTTATAATATATGTATTTCAATATGCAAATAATATAAACATGCATAAAAATAAGGTCATTTAATCAAATCACGGTCAATTGTTTATTCATATCGAGATTTAACTTTGAATTGAACAAATTTTGAAAAACTCAATATCAAATAGATTAATGACCAAGATTTAATTTCATATTATACCTTTTTCTCGATTTATCCAATATTGAATATAAAAATCAAATTATCAATAAATAATTTTGTTAAGTAATTATTCTAATTTATTTCAAAACATTTATACGCAAATACTTCTAATTTAAATTTTATTTATTGCGAACATTGTAAACAAATTTTATCGTTATATTATTTAGTGTCGAATAGTCCTTGATTTTGTTATCAACAATTTATTTTGTTTCAGGTTTTGAACTTGAAGAGAAACGACTAAATAAGAAACAGTCAAGATGCATGGTATGATGAAGTTTTTTTCTAATTTTAAGGATTTTTATAATGACATAAATGGTGCAACACTGACTGGTGCTATAGATGTAATTGTTGTTGAACAACCTGATGGATCTTATAACTGTTCGCCGTTTCATGTTAGATTTGGAAAGCTGGGGGTACTTAGGAGTAGAGAAAAAGTGGTATGTACAGATTTAAATAAATCAGCAGTATAATTAAGTGTAGCGATTTGATCGATATACATAGTGCACTTAAGACTTTACAGTATTTCTCTAGGAAATTTGTTACTTAAGCCATTTTTAATATATAAGAGTTATGTTACATGATGGCGGACGAAGCGTCGCCTTTTTAACACCGCAAAACGCTGTGTGGTGTTTTCTTTGAGATATACTGAAGCTCTGATTGTGCGCGGGAGAGATCGTCACTGACCAATAAGGGGTGCATAACGCTTGGCGCTAATCAATGAAAGTGGATATCGCGTATGGCGGTAACCAATGAGAAGTGGACAATAATTAAATGATACCTGTGACGTAGTTATTTGTTGGGGGACCTTTCTTATCGGTCTAGGCAGTGCGCTTACGGATACATCTCCAAGTGTAGTAAAAAAATCAAGAATGAAAGATTAGTGCATATTTGATGCAATATTGAGCGTAACGACGAACGCAACTTGTTGAATGTAATTCAGCAGTTAAGGTTCATATGACACTTAGTCGCACTCTTACTCTGCTACACTTTTAATTTATTCTTTCGTTTTTGTTCTGCTTTTCCCTAGTCCCAAATTACTATCGTTCAGTTCAATTTTAACAATAATTATTTTTTATTTATTTAATATACATGTTATAAATTTTATATAACATAAAATTAAATATGAGATATATGAAACACGAAATCTATACCCCAATCAATATTATAATAATAATAATAATTATATTCAACGACCGGTTTCGGCTGTTTCAAGCCTAAAAGTTAAAAACAAAATTCTGTTTTAAAATTTTATTTATCTCACAGGAGATGGCCACACCTGAGAGGTTGGATTCCCTTCTTCGATTAAATTAAATATACCTAATATAAATTAAATAAATTAATGATTATAGACAGGCAAATAGTAACGAAACAGAACAAGCTTATTACAAAATTGTTTGAGTTGCAAAAAATAAATCATATCTACCTTGAAGGTTGTTGCAGATTTCACACAAATAAAATACAACGGCGAGTGTTTTAATTTTGTTCGAGATAGTGGAAAATAAAACATTGATGTGTTTCGAGATTCAATTATTGGCACTTTAAATGCAAGTTGTTTTAATATCTCGGACCAATCTGGTACTTAACGAGTTTATGAAGAAATATTAACGACTGCATTTTTGATTTATTTTCTAAGTTTTGTATTCTGAATCTATTTAAAAGCAATGTGTGATTTATTCCAATTGGTTGATATGTTCCGTCTATCTTCAATGTCAATAATTTTAGATATCGCCTTTGACGTTTTCAAGAGCATTTACGTGAATGTAATAAAAAGGTTTAAATATTAATGAAGTATATTCTAATTTTGATTTGACGTACATATTATTGTACAATAGATTCCTCGTTTCGATATAATTGAGGTCAGTTGCATGATAAATCCCAAATTTATGAATAATGCCTTTAACACGTCATTTAGATGTTTTTATCAAACTTTACACAAAGATCAATAACAAAATCAGACCTGTTTAATATAACACCATGCAAAGAGTGGTTATAAAGAATTAAAAAATATTTTTTGGTATGTGACAAGACATTACATTTTTTATTTAATGGAAAATTATTTATCAAAAACCAACTATTTATTTTATTATTATTACTTTGTAATTTAAGGCAATCATTATATCTTCTATCTGATAAAAAAATTTAATTTCGTCTGCACAAATTAAATATTTTACGTTAACGTCATTAATAATGTCATTTGCGAATAGTATGTTTTCATAAAATAGTCTTTAATTTAAACAACATTTTCTGACCCGCTCCTGTGTTTAAGTCAGCTGCAATCAACCCGCGCATTCAAGATACAGTACAAGCTAAATATATTTTTTTTCTACACCCGTATTATAATAATGCACTTATATGCCCATAATCCGTTTCATAATGATACCCATTATGATACAGATTTTTCATTACGATACAGATTTTTAATCAATAGAAACCTACAATTTTTCAATCAAGCATGCTGTTTGACGTTTGTCCTAGGTTCCTATGTAATTATTTTAGTTGTCAAAACGTATTAAATTTTCGTAGGTAGCTAAACTTCGATAATTATAATATTAAAATGTCTGATATTAGCGATATAGAAGACTCCTCCACACATATCGGAGAAAGCAGAAAATACAGTACAAAATATTTTACCGCAAAAATCTAGGGAAATACCAATACCTGAAGTAATACCATTAATTACAATTTTGTAGAATTTTTTATAGAAATACGAGTAATTACTGTTATTGTGTTCAATACCAATATAAATATAATATTTATAGGTCTTGATTATTTATCGGGTGTAGAAAAAATAGCGTATGCAACTCTCATGTAATGGTTATTAAAACACTCGCATAAACCATACGAAACTCGCCTTTGGCTCGTTTCGTATCCCGGTTAATGCTCGTGTATTAATAACCATCATTACATGATCGTTGCATAATATACTATTATACAACTGCTATGAAAAGTAGCGAATTTCTCATAGCTTACTTAATTTCAAAACCATGTATTGTGAGAAATATTTTTTCTCACGGCACTTGCCCACACCACATACATTTATATGGAGAATCATCAAAAATCAACAAAAACTTAGTTGGCTGCTGTTCAGCTTTAAATAGTTGTCACAACTGTCAGATGATTATAGTTTTTTAAATTTTTAGGATAGTCTTTATTCGTACTTTGATAAAAATCGTTAAATATTATTTTAATAATACATATACCTTTGTATAATAAATATTATCGAAAATCTGAAGAAGTAACATTAGATTTGTTGCCGGTAATTCCAAAAAAAAGTATGAATTGGCATACGAAAAATTTATCTGGGTTTGACCATACAAAATTGTACGAATTTTACCATTAACTATAATTTTAAATAAATTATTTAACTTTAATAAGTGGGATACATTAATGTTATTTTAGTTTTGCTAACCAAAAAAATAAATATAAAGTTACATTACTATTCTTTAAATTTATGCAGTTTTAGAAAAAGTATAGTGTGCAACATGTGGGGAAAGTACTTTTCTCTCTCGTGAGAAAAGTTGAACTTTCCCCACTTGTTGCACAATATACTATTCTACATGCATGACGATTGTCCATTCCGTATTCAAACTTCGAACAGTTAACACGCATCCTTTCATTTCTCTTATCGTCACCTTAGTTTTAACTTCCAACAGTCAACATGTCTTGGGGTCGGCGCATCCTCCCGCTACACGCTCTCTCCGCTTTTAACCTTCGATACGACAGAATGCCTGGAGTCGGCATATATTTCGTTATTGCAAAAACACTCTTTTCAACCTACGATCAATTTACTTCGTTTACAGACGTAACTACTAACATGAGATTTGAGTTTCCTACAAGCAGATAAATAATTAATGCTACGTTTGAAATGTACCTCATCGAGCAGAGCGAGTATATTTTTTGGTTACCACGTGACACCGTGCAAACCATATCAATGGAGCAAACGAAGCAAAAGGGGCGGTATCGAGTAAAAAAATCAAAACGAGGTGCTTTTCAAACGCAGCATATGTCGTGACATAGTGTAAATATGTAAATAATGTGTGTTCTCATTCTTATTATCAATTAAATATAACATTGTGTCGTTGGTCAATGTTTGATTTTATAGACAAAGGGTTCCTCTCATAAGGTAGATACAGGCCACACACCTGTACCAGGTTCGTCCGATGAACTAACAGTAGATTACAAAGTTAACACTAAACGTTTGAAGAAATATTTTATGATCAAGTCTGTCGAACGCCTTGGAAAAACCCGTATATTGTGTAAAAGAAAAAGAAAAAAAAATTGTTATTGTTGACCTGTTTTTACAAAAACCATGTTGTTCTTTTATTATCTGATATTTGACGTGCGGTATTATATTATCGTCTAGTAAAATTTCAAAATACTTTGGCAAAATTACATATACAGTGTGGAAAAGCCAAATGGAATAAATTCATTATTTCGATGACTGTACATATTTATAGAAAATCCCGAAACACGTCAAATTTAAATTATAAATTGACATTCTTTAAAGTGAAAATGTGATCCCTACCTTCAACCCTCTTTGAGTAACAGTTACAACCCCTAATTTTTTAAATGGGAAGTATAGGCTTGTGATTTATCGTTTGAAAGGTCTCTTCATTCTCTATCCAAAAATGTTATTGTTTTTAAATTTATTGCAAAAATTAACATAAAAAAAAATAAAATCATTTTATTACCGAAATTCTCTAGAGTACCTACACTACTATTTCCCGTTGCAGTCTTTATAATAATAATAAGACAGTACCTAAACAAAAACCATATCAGTGTTCTTTTTTAATATCAATTTAAAAAAATCCTTTAAAAAACTATCATAGCAATGTTAGTTTGTTTAAAACGCCTTAGCAAATTCGTTTGTAATAATTATAACTGCAGGATATTGTCAATATTATAATTGTCGTTCGAATTTCATAAAAATGGTTAGATTAACAGAAATGCATAAAATAACAGTTTTACAGATGATTGGTTACGAAGATAACACCCGAACACAAATGGAAGTTGCTCGCCTATTTCATGAAAAATTTCCGAATTTGCCGCCTATATCCCAAGGTACAATTAGTAAAATAGAGAAGCAATTTCGCGAATTTGGACATGTAAAGCAGATGAAAAAAAAACAGCTGCCAATGCACTGAGTGATGATATCAAATTAGATATGATGCTTGAGTTTGTGGAAAACCCACATACACCGAGTAGACAAGCATCTGCAACATTTAATGTCAGCCATACATCGATACTAAACATATTAAATGAAAATAAAATGCATCCCTATAAAATGATACCGACTTTTTCCGTTAACGGTCATGCTAATCGTCAAAATTGCCGCTACTGGTCAACGGAAAATCCTCACTGGATGAGAGAGGTCCATACACAATACCCTCAAAAGGTTAATGTTTGGGCAGGGATTGTTGAAAACCATATTATTGGT